CAACACTTATAGATACAATTTTCATCAACCCACTTTTGGGTTTTTTTCTTTCATGTATGTCGTTTTCTATTGGTTGGTTTATTGTTGAAATTAAAACCACACTCGAAACAAGTACTTAGGGCCATGAAACGGATTTTAATCGGTTAATTAATTAACCGCAGAGCAAACCCTACGGATTTCCCCATTAGCCCCAGTAACTACACCGATATTACTCATCCTGACCATTGACCTCGCAAACTCAACGTTGAAGGTGCTTCTAGGAGCCATCAATTGTTGCACTATGGGTCTAGTGGCTGGATCGGTCCAAAGAACTTGATCGGATTGGAGAACTCCACGGCCACGGCTTAGGTTGTTGTAGTATGAAGTATCCCAAGTGGTTCCGCTTCCGGTGTCGAGATCAACGCGCACTGAAGCGTCGCCGTTTTGGGGACATTGTGTTTGAAGCTGCGACAAAAATGTTGGGTCGATGGTTGGATCTGCGGGTTGTCCGGTGGTGTTGAATAGCCTGTTCCTGAATACACCACATCCTGCTGTTCCGATCGTGTGTCCTCCTGTTTAAATTGTAATTGATTTAGTATATGTTGCTATTATTCAAATATTGAAAATTGATAAACAATAAATTTATTTTAATATTTTTCAACGGAAATTTTAGGCGGGCAAAAAATGGAGAATCGTTGCGATTTTCAAATATATTTTTGAAAGATTAGCGCTTAATATGTTTAGGTACTAGACGGTTAGCAAGTGTTCAACGAGTGTCCAACGAACAAATGAAGATTTTTTATCGTTATTTTTTTTAAATAATGGTGGTTTATAGTTCTTGAATGGTTTCTTGAATTGTGTAAAATATAGACTACTGACCGGCGAGGACGACGAGATCACGAGTATTGAGTCCTAAAGCGGAGAATTTCTGTTGTTGTACGGCAACGGAATCACGTGGACCGGGGAGATTGTTAGCATTCGAAGCCAAAGAAACTCGGCCATCTCTACGTCCCGTTGGTACTTGCCATCCTGTTCCTTGCGTCTGCATGCACAATAACGTTATTTACATAGAAAATTAATGATAATGCATTTGCGTATAACGTTTATAAATAATTAAGGCTTACGAGAATGACTGTGTCACGAGCGGCTAAGGCTAAAATATCAGCACACGAGACAACTCCTGGACACGCGGCTTCGAGCTGCGTTTTGGCGTTGTCGATGACTTCAAACCCTCGGAGATTGAGGTTCGGACCGGCGGTTCTCTCGGTGTTAGCTCCCGATATAAGGATCGAACCGTCACAACCTTGGACAAAACAGTCGTGGAAATGCATCCTCAGTATTCCGGGTGCGATTCTGGGGTCAGAACTGAAGCCAGCATTCACGGCGTTTCGGACAATGGTTTCAGCTCTAGGACACGTGGTCAAGTAAAACCCAATCCTTGTGCCGGAAACAGGACCCGGCCTTCCGGTGGCTTGGCCATGAACCAAGATGATGAGACAACTAAGGAAGGTTATGAATAAGCACAATGATCTAACCAAACCCATCTTGTGTTTATATTTTAGGGTTTTAGAGAAGATGAAGTGTGTGTTCAAGTTTTAGTGAGTATAGATAGTTCGTTATAGAGTACTATTTATAGAGGAGATTGAGAAGTCAAAGAATGACGTGTGAGTCAACGAAACCGGCTTCAGTGGTTGTGGGGTACTGGGAGATACATAAAACGACGTCGTCTGGGAGAATCAAAAGCGCGTGGTGTTGGTCAGTGCGTTGTGAGCTGGTCGACTCGTTGACTTTAAAAGCATTTTCTTTTGGATTTGTTCGTTTTGATAGTTTCTGTGAAATTGATTGAATATGTAACCAATGAGAGAAATATCGTTTACGTATAGGAGTTTTGAATTTTGGTTCAAGCCTAACTAATGTATAGCAAATATATAAATAAAAATGTGGATTAGTGTTTTACTATTGGAAAATTAGTATACATCCAATTTTTGGTAGTTAGATCTCACAATTAGAGGATTAGAACGAAAAACGAATATTTCTTATTACTTAGTGCAAAAGTCTGCCAAGTGGATTTTAATATGAAAATATCCAAATGTTTATAATATCTCACTATAAACTACTGGCAGTAAATGAAGTAACGCTTTTAATTTGATTCGATTATACATTGCGATTGGAATCATGATTGGTAGCAAATTTGAAAATTACTCTGAATTTGGTTCGAGATTCTTCTGGTAAAAAAAGAAGAAGATCAGGTTAATTATGTTTTGACCTAGCTACTAATTTTTTCTCGGCGAATATAGTTTTTAATTATATATGAAAAAAAAACACGTTTAAAAACAAGGAAAAAATCCTTCATAAACTAAAATTGCTAATGTATTCAAAGTTTTTCCATGAGATTCACGTATTAGATATATATTTGATATTTGAACATAATAGTTTGGAAACAATAGAAAGCCATGAACCTTAATTAGTTATATCAGACAACAGTTTTTCAATATGTGTTATTGATTGTGCAATGATCAACAGAAAGACTCATAAATAACGTAAAGCATACAAAGTTAATTAACGGTTAAAGCAAATCATTTAAGAAGTTTCTATACAAACCAATGTCCCTAGCTTATAGAGACATTATATTGTTCTTCTAACGACTTGTGCCAAACGATAACTTGGTACTATTTCAAAATCCTAACTTGGAGACAAACACATTATCTCCAAAGACTATTACTACTTCAAATATATGTAGATTACACGAAAAAACCATAATTGAGATATATAGATGAAACTTATATTTTTGGTATCAGACTCATAGTATTATTGTTCTATTCCTCAAATTATGACCATTGACTTTATAAGATAAGATCTAGACGATCATCTTTCCTTAAGGATATTATGAGCTTTATTTGTCTACTCCTCTATAAATAACGATTTTTTTTTTTGTCAAAAGCTCAATTTATCTGATTTTATTATATTCTTCAACCAATGAAATGAGATTGAGATTATGATTATGACTGTGTCAAACAAGGATTGTTTAGCATTTGCGTTTACATGTATTAAAATACTGTAAGTTCATATTCAAATTTTAAATGCAAACGCAGAAAGAAATATTTTCAGAGTTTGGCATGTAAATGTACCACTGTATTCTAGGCTTTGACGCTTGTTCTCGGATTCCTTTGCTTGTATATTGTCCGAAAACTTTTGCTCGAAAAATAAGAAAAGAAAGTATATATATTGTCCGAAATCTCTATATATCGCAAGTAGTAGGACCCTCACACTGTCTTCGACAAATGAAATTGTACCACTTTTCTATTATATTGTTGTTTAATTCTTATATAATTATCTTTTTTGGTGAATATCGTTTTCATATATATTTTCTTACAAATTTGTGACTATATGTATGTACATAATGAACGTTGATGTTTATATATCTCTTCCAAAAGTGAAATCCGCAGAATAATTATCTTATAAACGACTAAACGTCTCATATCCGTCCGCGATGTATGTATATTACAGAGAAGACTAATTAGGGCTTGTGGATTTAAGAGATAAATAAATACAATAAGAATAGAGATCGAAATTGATAATGTTTTGGAAGCTGACTTTGAGCAAAGTCATAATAAGAAGAGTCGACAACAGACTGCTGAATCCGGCAATTAGTGGGATCGTTTTGGAAGTATCTCCGATTTAAGTTCTTCGACTTCCTTATGTCACAAAATCTTACTTATCTTCCGGATTTTTCGCTTTTCTGATGTCATGTGTTTGAAGTTTCAGTGAATTCACACGATTGTGTATCTATCAATATTTTGACTAATATATAAAATTTTAAACCTAACTTGTTTTTTTTTTGTTTTTTTTTTATATATATCTGCGAACGTATATGTGTTGTATTGGTTAGCATGTTTTTAATTAAAAATATGTTTCATCCAACCATACAATTTTTCACTGCATGGGCTTACGGATTATCAGAAAAATAATTTGATTTTGTTTTGTGCGGAAAAAAAGGTCTTAGACTTTTGTAATTCAGACAAAATTGATGTAATAGGCGACTAAAAGAGTTCAATATTATTAAAAAAAAAAAAGAAAACAGATTTGAAAAGGATAGTTGTCGTATGCATCGATATATTCTGTATCAAAATAAAACAATATTTACGGTTTTGAACATAGCTTAAAACAAACATTTGGTTTTTTAATATTTTTAAAACTATAAAATTATTTAGAATTTTTTTAACTAATAATAAAACAAACTGAATAATATAAATGATCATATGAAACATTACTTACAATAAAGTAGTTTTGGCAGTAAAAACATGAAACATTAGTACATTACTTACAATAAAATAATCTAAAACACTACTTAATATAATACGAAGGAGTAATAACTGAACCATGGTAATCTATCTATAGATGGTAGTTAAATATACTCGTTTGAGAATCTTGAGATGATCCAAAAATAACATGTTCATCCTTATCTCCTGTGACTTGAGTATATATACACATATATATATATATATATATATATATATATATTTTTGGTTTAACATATACACACATATATTTGTTAGTGAAACTCTACTACACAGTAACAAATGCAATATTACTAAACTGATGATGGTGGCAACTGGCAAGAGTGATATTTACCAAGTAAATAAATTAACAATGATATACATTAGAGAAAATATAACGTGTACCATTGTTAATTTTATAGGAGATTTCTTCATTTGCATGGAGAAAGAGTCTACCACTTGGCCCTCTGACTTTAATGTTAACGCATGTTAACCATCATTTGTCCATTAGAATGTTACGATAACTTTATAAACTATGTAAATATTAGCCAATCTGATGAAAGATTAGATATACATTAGCTATTTTTTTTTTCTGTCAACAACTTTATATTAAAAAACCGGTTCAAATGAACCAATCCAAAGGACTAGCTCATTTGGCCTATCTTTTAATATAGAGTTGTTAGACAAAAAAAAAAAGATTAGCTAAAATATAGTATATCAGATATTTTTAGGTATTCCAAAGGCTGCTTATAAATTAAATTCAATTATGACCAGAGATTCCAGACCAAAAGGGGTAAACTATCATTTCTCGATCAAGTTAAGATTTTAAAGAACGCCATATCTGATGTTTCAAATGGACAGAAAATATCCGATTATAACAGACTTCTTACACAAGAGTTTTCATACATCATCATCACTCTACGCCTCAGTTGCCTGAACCTCCCTCGGCCTGAGCAGCTCCTCCATCTGTAATTATATCAGAGCCAACAGATGGATCAATAAGCCTGTAAATTGCTTTGAGATGGAGATTATAAGATGACAAGATTTTACCTTCACCACCCTCAGATGGTGCACATGGAGACTTCCTGTAACGCGTCTGCTGCTGCGTTGGCTGCAAAAGAAGGACAAGATCTTAAAATTGGAAACAAACAGCAGAAAAAAAAACAGCTGAAACAGGGTTCAAGCTCTTTTACCTGTAACTTGGGACGAAGAGCTTCGAGGGGTCCCTTTGGCTTTGCAACACCTTGCTGTTGGAGACATTAATAATAACACCATCAGAGTGGGAACATTAGATAGAGCTTATATATGGTAACTCAAAAGAGACAACACTCGCGGATTAAAGTTTATTACCTTTCCAAGAGCCCAATCAGCTGAGTCAAAGTATGCTCGCTCATGATCCTGATATGAAACCACACCTCAGAAAAACCAAGTGAAACCCCAAAATCTCCTTATTAGACCAGATACTATACTTACCTTGGAAATGAGAGGAGGTTTCTTTGGCATGAGCCCTCCATACTTCTTCTTTACGGCAGCCTCCTACACAATGCAATTAAAGAAAGAGTTAGGTCACGGTATCATATTCATTACGGTATTTGATCAAAAGTATCTAGTGTGAGAATTAAAAGGGAAACCTCCTGCTGTGATGATGGCATTGACTTTTCTGCCTCATTGGTGAGGTTTCCTTGCACTGATTGCTCTTTCACATCCTCTGCGCTAGACATGATGATGTCTCAACGCCACCAAACCAAAAATGCTGCACGAGTATATAATATACAACATTACTTAACGAATATACACACAACTCATGAACAAGTAACAAAAGCAGACTCGAGGGTTCATCAATGAAGCAATCAAAGGAAGCTAATTAATAAATGAACTTAAAAAGAAACTAAAGGATCTTTATGATCAAATAATATGCTTCCTATTTGATACTAGTTCCACAATCCTGTGACCAAGTCACCAAACTATCTGTCCTGAAAAGTGTAGTATTGTACAGCTCAAGAACACGAATGAGCCTAACTATGAACAACATATAAAACTTGAGGCAGCCAAAACAAAAACCCAAACTAAAGGAACAAATGATGAGTGTATACTCCATAAAATAGGCAAAGCCTCCAAAAGCTTATCTCACATCTCTATCTATGTAAACAAAACCGCTTCCAGAATTCACAGGGATCAGAATAGCTAAAGCTTTAAAGTTCAGATTCGACTTTGAATTCAAATCAATTTCCAGATTGAAATCAAAATCAACCATGTGAATCAGATCTCAACAATGCATATAGACAAAGACTGTATAAACCTAGAATTTCACTTAAACAACGCGAAATGATCAGATCACAACGAAACCGACGGCGGATCAGATACACAATCAAACCACGATCAAAACTCAAAATTCAAATCAGAGGAAACTCAAACAAAGCCCTAAGGATAAACAATCAGGTTCTTATGTTGAGAGATTGAAAAAATGACATAACGATATAGAGAATCAGAGAATCTCAATCTCCATCATCATCATCGAGATGAGAAGACGAAGAAACGAAACGGAGAAGTTAAGGTTTAGAAAACGAGATCGAGATTAGACGCACCAGGAGGAAGAAGAAGAAGAAGAAGAAGAAGAAGAGGATTGGTGTGGCTCTCTGAGCTCGTTGGGACGTATCTTCGTTGTTGTCAATGGAGAAATGGGAGAAGAAGATCTTCTTTGTGAATTGATATATATAAAGAGATGTGTGGGAGACAGAGAGATATGATTTGGGTAAGAAAGAATGGAAGCAGAAACGCGGCGCGAGGGTTAAATTGGTAATTATCTTCAAAAAGGGGTTAAAACACGTGATTAAGATTCGTTTGAGGGGTTTGACAAAAATTAAAACCGTTGAGAGCAATACATTAAAAGCGTTTCTTTGTTATAAAATGTGACCAATAATTTTGCTAAAAACTTTGTCTATGTTGTTACTAGATGAATATCCGCGCAAATCTATGTTTATGTTTGCGGATTTTTAATGGTATTAGATGAATATCCGCGCAAATCTATGTTTATGTTTGCGGATTTTTAATGGTATAAAATTGTTGAGTCGATGGAAGTTTGCACTATTCTAAATTTGAAATTTTTGTTTTTGTTTTGTAAAATTTTGTTTCTTTTGCGGGTTTTTAAAGGTAAAAACCATTAATCTGATGAACATTATATGTAATGTCATTTTAGGTACTTTTCACTATTTCAAATTTGAAATTGTTGTTTTGTAAGATTATTTTACGCGGGTTTTTAACGGTAAAAACCGTTGAGCCGAGAAATCAATTATATATATATATATATAATATCTATTTAACATGTTCTCTTAGATGCTTCCATAACTTCAAATTTTGAATTTGTTCTGTGTTTTAGAAAAAGGATGATAATTGAAAAATTAGACATTTAAGACATAAATGGTAAGAGAACATTGGTCAAACACATAAATGGTTTAATTGGTAATGAGTAAATGACAAACAAAAACAATAAATATATAATAAAGCACTTTTTTAAAAATAATTTCTTCTGAAAGACATGTCATTACTTGTTAAAAGATAAGAAAGAGTAATGATCAATTTATTATATAACATGTCTAATGTTAAATATTATATAACATGTCTAATATTAAAGCGGGATAATCTGGAAGAACAAAAATTTAACCACAACGATCTTATCTCGAAAAGCTTAATTTATTCGAAGTTGAATAGCTAAACCCGACTTCTACAATTTTTTTGTTCCGGATGACAGTTAGACAAAATTATTAAAACAATATTTAAATGATTTATATCACAAATGATGAATAAATTACATACTCCTAATTATAACCCTAGTTAAATGATTTACCTGAATGAAATTACTAATGGCACATTTTCATTACGTCATAAAAGATTCATTCCTAGATTCAAACATTGTCTTAACAAAAACCTCAAGTAATTAAAACAGAGCAACAAAAAAAACTTGACTACAAGGCCAAGAAACAAGAGACCATCAAAATGTAAATGTTGGGAAGAGTTTTGAAAGAGGATTGGGATATGGAATCAACGGAGTCTTCTAGCTTCTCTCTCGGACTCGAGGAGAGTGAGGATATCTCCTTCTCTGACCGGTCCTTTCACGTTCCTCATGATGTAACGGTCTGAATCAGTGAACTTGACTCTAACCTGAGTGACCTGACCACGAGAACCAGTCCTACCCATGACCTTAACGACCACGGCATGTTTGATTTGAGAATCCATTCTGCATTTACATAAATGTGGAATGTTAACATCTTCATACCAATTAGAGCTCATATTGACATATGAAACATGCAGATGAATGTATTAATAAAAAGGCTAACTGTACAACAAAAGAATACATGATTATAACTGTTCTACAGATCAAACCACTAAAACCAATGATTATGTTCAAAACAATCTGAGACTACCCAAAAAGCTTTAGAACTCACAACACACAGGAGAATTCCGAAAAAAGGACAAGTAATTAACTATTGTTCCTGAGCTCGACAGATCTTTCTCGATTTGTAGTCTCCCTAACTCAACTAAATCTTATACTAGTACGATCGATCACCGAGAAGCGTGTTTATCGAAAAATGAAGAACGGACAACAATATACAAAACCACATGGAGAAATTCTAACTCCAGAAACATCACGCAATGAATCTACGAACATGTTCAGGATGAGAATCATAAAATCTTAAAAGAGAAGAATAAGCGCCTCAAGAACGAACCTGTAGACGGATGCGGCGGATGCTCTGAGGAAAGCTAGGTGAAATCGAGATTGCCAAAATAAACCCTAATATCAAAAAGCTGAGAGTGATGAATTTATTGGTGGTTATATAGCATAAATGGGCCAAGCCTACGAGCCAATGGGAAGTCCGATGGGCTTAAAAAGCCCATATTCGTATCAGTCTACAATTTAATAATTTATACCTTTAATCCTACCTACCATAACCCACATGATATTGGATCACTGAAAATTTATCATTTCAACGCTGTACTTTTTACAATTGCCTCGTATCTGGTATATAAAAAAAAACAAAAACAAAAATTCTTCCAATACGATTCTGTTAACTAAGGTCATTATTTGATAGAAATGAACTTCGCAAAGCCATAAATTAGATTACTTCACTTAGAAGAGATATACTGAAAATGAGATCCCACAAGTCACAAGTAATGGGAAGTACTAAGTAGCACCACAGCAAGTTGTGTAAAAAAGCTCAGAGACGAAAGCCAGTCACGAACCGATTGATTCCAGCAAAATCAGAAACTATCTTCAAATCTGAGAAACAGTCTTTTAGATCATTGCTCATCATGTAATCAACGATCATCTTGCTTTGTTTCTCTCCATTCGTCTGCATCATCATATGCCAATAGGATCAATTAATCATTCATGGTGGATTTGATTATTAGTACATATGCAACATCTTAAAATTGTTTCTTCGGACTCATACACAAACAAGATTATCTTAAATCTCTTTTCAATACTAACTTCGCCAGTTTTCAGTATCAGAGACAGGGAGAAAGACATAATAAACCCAAACGATTGAATCTGTCTACTAAATATTTTGGAGAAACAGAGTGAAAATAAGGTAGGTACCTCGAAAACGAAAAAACCACCGCGTTGAAGCATCTGAGAAGCCCCATAACAGAGATGGAGAAGACTATCAGTTCCATCAATACCACCATCCAATGCAAGTTTCGGTTCATGTTTACCAACTTCAGCTTGTAGGCCTGGAATGTCATCACTTGGTATGTATGGTGGATTACTTACAAGCCCTACAAGTTTTCCTTCAAGACCTTTCAAAGGCTCAAACCAAGATCCTTCTCTCACTTCAATCATCCCCTGGATAAGTCCAATTTTATCACAATGGTGAGAAGAAACCAAAGCTGAATAATGTTTCAGAATATGATCCTTCCCTTACATCAATCATCTCTTAGATATATCAAATTTCATCACCACTATGAAAGCAATCAAACTGAAGAATGTTGCAGGATTACAATTCTTCATCCCACATTTTACTGGTTTTGTCTACCAAATCCTCAAATCCATTACAACTTCTGATGTTGAAAGATCCCAATTCCATAAATACAATAGATTTTATTTTTATCATCATCAGGTTTAAAAAAGAAAATCTACTAACCTCAAGGCCGTATCTCTGCACATTTTTTCCGGCAACGGCAACTGCCACCGGACTGAGATCTGTAGCTATAACTCTCCCACGGCTTCCCAAGACTTTAGCAATGCCTATCGCAATTGCACCACTTCCTGTCCCAAGATCAGCCCAAAAACCTTTCTTAAACCATTCATCTCTCGTTACAAGCTCCTCCACCATATCGACGATTAGTTCCGTCTCCGGTCTCGGAATTAGAACCCCTTCCTCAACGCACAACACCAAATCTCTCCAGTATTCGCATCCGACCACGTACTGAAACGGCCGACGCTTCTCGATCCTCTGCCTCCATAAATCGTAAAGCTCCTCCAACGACGCTCTCAATTTCACATTCTTCTCGCCGTTGTCCGCGATTTCGCTTCTGTGAAGAATCACTAAAGGATCGTCTACGATTGAGTCTTCGATCAGCCATTTTAGCTCACGGTGGAGAATTACAGAGTCAAGAACATCTTCAGAATTCGTCGAAGATTCCTCTACGGAGGAGGCCAGATCTTTCGCCCAGTCGTGCCATTTCCAAACCTCAGATAGAGAAGTTGCGTGCGACGGCGTTCTAAGGAATAGCGGTGTCTTGGGAGTTATGCTGAGAGAATTAGTCTCCGTAGAGGATTTCGCCGGAGAATATGAGCAAAGAGGTTTAGCGGCAGAGAGCAGAGAGGTAAACCGTAAACTTGGAAAGATTCTTATCATTTCAAGGTTTTTGCCGCACAAACAGACCAAATCGGTTTATAAATCTTTCCAACTAAACCGTAAACCGGATAATCATATCCGGTTAATAGTCTTAGATAGCTGACTCTATTTCCGGTTCCGGTTTCGTTTTCGCCGGGTTTTGAACCGAGGATTGAAATTAGATTTACAAGGAATCTAAAGGGCTAAAGCATAAATTAAGAAAAGTTCTACTTATTTTCGTTTGCGGCTCCGATAGATCTTTGGAGCAACGAACAAACATGAGCTTGACGCTGCTTCAAGGCTATTCTTCTGCAGAAGAAGAAGAAGCAGAGGAGAGAAATTTTGGGGATTACGAGAACTCTGACGATGACGATAATGGTGTTCGGAGATATGAATCTTCTTCTGTGTTTGATTTCTCTGCATCTGCCTCCTCCGCTAAACACTCCGGCCTTCCTTCCGCTGACGACGTTTTCTCTCAGGTCATCTTTCTCTTTGATCTTCTAAACCTCAATTCATCGAATTCTAATTTTGAATGATCTCATTATTAAAGATGAAAATAAGTTACTTGGATCTGTAGATTTTATGTGATTGAAATTTAGGGTTTTCCCCGGAGATCCCCAGACTTATTTAGGTTTGGGGTGGAACATTAGAGAGATCTTCTGATAGTGAAAACTTTTTAGTGTTTGTTGGCCTAGTTGCTTATATTGTATATGAACTTGTTGGTTACTCTTACTCGAAAAGCTTGTAGTAAATGATGCTTTGCTTCTATTGAATTTTGCAGATATCAGGGCCACCGGAGTTTCTAAACAATCGCACAGAAGCGGATGATGAAGCTTCAGCTAGAGATGCAGAACATGCACAGCGTATTAGTCGCAAAAAGAAGAAAGTTAAACCAAAAGGTAGCCGCAACTTGCTTGCACCTTCTTAGCATTTTTGGTTATTTAGAATTTGGAATGGTTCATCTTTAGATGATGTTGAAGAATTCACATCAATAGGTTTAAAGTGCACAAGATTATGGATTGGTATCTCAAAAATATATGTGAATGTGGATTTAGCTTTAGAAGCTTGTTTTGATACTTAAAGCATAAACATTGTGAAATAAGAAACCAGGCACCTTGGGTTGTAGTCTCTATCTATCCGGTTTCTCAGTTCTGTTTATGGAACTGTTGATATCTCTCGATCCAAGCCTGATGGTTTCAGCTTATTGGCCTGTAGGTGTTGTCATGGAAGCAAAACCTCAACTAGTAGGAATCCATGAGAGAGTAAGAAACGATATTGATGCACCACCTTCTTCAGAGGGTGGTGAAAAGCGGATATCTACTGCAACCAATCCTAATGCAGAAGAATCTGCAGATCTCTTGAGGTATGAATAACCCTTGGTCTCTTCTTCATTCTTTCGTAAATTTATATTTGCACAATGTGAGCTTGATTAGGATTTCTATGATGAGTTTAGGATGTGTTTGCAATGCGGTGTACCAAAAACATATACAAGCACGAGAGGAATGGTATGCCCGATTTGTGGTGACCGGCCATTACCGGACGTAGACGCGAAGAAGAAAGGCTCTACGATCAAAGATAAAGAGAAGAGCAAAAGAATGAGAGGACAATCTTCTCACGCTTCTTGGAAAAGTGAAACCGAGATGCAACTTAGGCAAACTTTCGATTAGAGTGTTTCAGAACTTTCTTTCTCCTTTTACTACATTGTACCATCCAATTCCCAATTTGTGTAACGTAGCTTGTGACACAAAGCTTAATCTTTTATCGACACAATTATTGGGATTGGTATTGCTTCGGAATATCTAAATTCGTCAAAATTGAAATATATTTATGAGATCATCAAATCATTATTATGAAAAAGAGTTGCACAGCAGAATATTTTATGGCATTACAAAACGAACTAGCATCTTTATCTACAGAATTGCTGTGTGTCTCTACTTCTTCCTCTACTTAACAACTTGAACATATTACAAAGGCAAATAAGTCTCAAAGACCCGGTTCGAGCAACCAGGTGTACAATCAGGTTCGAACCGAAATCTAGACCAGAAAGTTATCTCAACACTAATACAACTATGTTACAAAATCCATGATTCTAATGAAAGAAGCAGTCAGGATTTTAGTAACTAACCTGAGCAATTTCGCTTAGCCAAAATCGAGATTAGTGTTAACAACCATATCTCGAATGCTTCAGCAGTGAAAGAGCCAGTTTTTGTTGACATCATTAATTGTTGTCACTTATTACAACTTCTGCTTCGGGTCTAAGTTCTGGAGTTTCCTCTTGTTTCTCCATCCTCAGACTCGGGCTACTATTAGGCTGAGGAATCTGTGGAGATTATGATGGGTAAAATGAGGCACTGTGTGACACAGTTTGCAATTTAAATGGCTGTGTAAGAATTGAAGGTCTGTCTAACTTACCATTGGATGAGATTTATAAGACAGAACATTGTTATCTGATGAAAGCGATGAGTCTGAGGGCCTGTGAAACAACAAATGAGCTATGGATCGGTCTATCGGGTTTGTATCAGTTTCGATATCCATGAATCCAGCGTACCTGGATGTGACCAAATACAGATAACAAAGATTAGAATCTACAAGAAATGAGGGATGAGTACAAATACCCAAGTGGAAGTTTCTAAAGAAGAGAGTTACTAAATCTGTCAAGACCCCAGTCTAATCCTATATAAAGTTATAAGTTGGCCTCAAGAACTTTACTTAGCAACAGGAGATAAAGGGTGAACATATTGAATAATTATGTCGGTTGTGGTGCTTACTTGTCTGTTTCACCAGTCACCAGATGCGAGCCTGCAACTTTCTCTGGTCTGTTTCCACCATGGTGTCTCTGTTCAGCGCTTTTTGCCAATCGGTATAAGCTGTCTCTTATGCAAAGCTTTGTCCTAACATCCAACTGGAGCAAGCAAGTGTACATCAACAAAGTAAACAGATATACATGTAAATTTCTTACGATATATACACTTTGATATCAATCGCAAAGGAACAGCAAACTTTTACCAATCACCTTCAGAACTGCCATTTCCTTATATCATCAATTATCTACTGACTAGTTGTACCTGTTCTATAACTTGTTGCAGCTGGCGAAAACTTGTTGCTTCCAGTGAAATGTCATCCACAACAGAACTAACACAAGAACTTCCCTGCATGTTTGATGTTTCCAATTCAGTTGCAGCTTTTCTGTGGTCATTCTCAAGCCCGATCTTCTGGATAGAAGCAGCATCAGGAAACACCATGGGGTTTGTCTTACTACTGTTCTTGGTATTTGCAGCAAAAGAAGGAGTTATATCTTGCCCAGGCAGCAAGTTGGCTCTCGTTTTAAAGCCCTTCCTACACCGATCATCAACAGTTGGACCTTGTAAGCTCTCGACAGATTGTGCCTGATTTGATGTGTATGACTCATTTGAAGCAGAGGAAGGATTGGGTTTGTTCTCAGATTTAATACCAGATTTACTTTCACATGCTGATACTTGATCGGAAGGCTGCTCACAATTGAAATGCGAGTATGGCACACCTCGCTGTTGGAATGCGGAGGGAGGGTAATACTGGTTTGTGTCCATTATTTCCCTTGAAATACCACTGTGCTGTAAAGTAAAACTGTTCTCAGAGAACCCATCACTTTTCCCATCCAGATGATGAAGATGATCAGTCTGCTTCTTCTCAAGATTTGCCTGTATAACAAAAATGCGCACTGATATGAAATTGCTGGAATAGTGTCACGACTTCAGCAGTGTAAATATTTATCTAATAGGATACTTACTAGCCTTAAAGAAACCATAAACCACCATTCACAGAAAAATTGTAAAAAGCGTCATATCGTAGTTAAAAGATTTTACTGAGGAAAACGTGCAACTAAATAAGTCATCATAGAAGGTAATTAAGGGTGGCATGTTGGAGGGCGCAAAAAATTCTGAAATAAGAATTTGACTAACCTCTACATCCAGCATCAATATATCCTTCTTTTGCGAACTCGTATCGAATAAATTTTCTGATGATTTTACTTGAGCTGAATCACCCCCGATGGTATATCCATACTCATCTTCAACAGCATGGTTGGACTCACTGTTGTTCAAAAAATCTTCAACCTGTAACATTGGGGTTCTTTGATTTTCCAACACTTTGTCTGGTTTGATATCATCTGTCATCGCGCCTTCTATCTCCTCATTTGGCGGAGCAGAAGAGAACCAGCCTAAGTCATCTTCATTATTAAGACTATCCAAGCCGAAAGTTGAATCACAACTCCTGTGCGTCCAAAAAGCAAGTGTAAGCTCAGTACAATGTTACCATGTTTTTCATATAAAGCCCCAATGTGATAAGAAAACTTAGAAAAAAGAATATCTATATGTTACCTAAGCATGTTGTCCACATCCTCAAAATTTCCTATGTCACCCCAGCCATAGAAGAGATCGTTGCTTTCTTTATCTCCATTGTCGAAAAAGCCAAGATTATTTTCAGCATCCGGAATGTTGTTGAGGGAATAATTATATACGCCATCATGTGTTGCAGCGGCACTGTCACACAGCATGGGATCCACGGTGGATAAATTTTCAACCACATCAACGTGGCCACCATTGAAACCATGATCTGAAATATTTGTATCCTCCAATGTCATATCCTGAACATCTTTGCCTGATCCCGTATCACGAGAAACCGAAGAGCCACCACTATTTTTCTCCGGCCATGGATTTTTTCCTAACATGTTTGCCTCCCTCTTGATAAAAGTATAACTCTTTAGATTGTTTGTTCCACTACCCATATCTTCATTTATTCGTTTCTTCCTGCTACTAACTAGAATTGGAAACTGTCCTCCATTCTCATACGCTGAGTCTGGCACTATACCATCATCGTTCCCATGAAATTCATCTGAAATATAATCGCCTAGCTGAAAAAAAAAAGGGAAAAACAACTTCAGCTAATAATAAAAATCCGCATTACCAAGTCAAAGAAAAAAAACTAGGGAAACATCAAACCGAGTAGACTAACAAACAATCCCAAACCTGATACACAGAACACATCCAAGTGGTAGCGATAACAAATAGTAAAACATGAATTGTCCTATAATCCAAAAAGATTTTGAACCTACTAACAGTGAGAAATTTCACAGCACTAAATTCCCCGGGAACATACGACAAGAACAACAAAGAAAGCTCTATATCCATAGTCTCTATGAGATCATACAAAAAAATCACCAAACCAGAAAAAAAGATACACACACATATCATAGTGACTCAACTCACCTCATCAATGTAAGAGTCCGACATTTCCTCCCAACTTCAAGACTCATTAATCACCACTAAAATCATGCACATTACCCCGATATGTCATCTCTATTGCAAAACTAGTTCTGGTTCTGGATACGAAACATAAGATATTAAACAGCTGGAGAAGGTTCCAATAATAGAGATATCGAACCCAGCAGCATCTAGGAAAACTTGATTTTTCTTATTCAGAATCAAAAACCCATAAAATTAACCCACTCTTCCAACTATTCATGTATTTCAAAAAGTAGACTCAAATTCTACAGCCAAAAATTCAAATCTCATAACAAGTAGCACAAAAACAAAGTAGAAACACTTCATCAGATAGTAGGATTCATCCATTTTGTGCTCGTAATATCTAGCAAAATCGATTTAACCTATCATCATCATAACAATCTAAAACAAACTCAAAACCCAGTTAAATAAAGCATTCAATGAGACTTAAAAAAAAAAAATCAAATCTGAGAAATCCTCAGCTACTGCTGCTGCTGCTATTGAATGATTGAGGATAAGAACCAAATATTCAAATTAAATTGAATAGAAATAGATTCCACCAAACGAATGAAATGATCAAAACCCTAAAGTCCCAACTAAATAAGCTCACCTGTGACTGTGAGACAGATTCTTCCACTAGCAGTAACTCCACAGACAAACAAAAAAATCAGCAGATCCTCCTATTGATTGTATCAATTCATCGAAGCTAGATCGGAAAAAAACTTTCTAGGAGTTTCTTCTACAGATGTTCGGCAGAAGACGACGATGAAGGCTTCCTAATTTTTTTTATTTTTTTTTTACAAATATTTTAATTATTGTTTTTGTTTGGGGAGAATCAAAAGACAAGTGACCATGATATCGACACGTGGCAACAAAATCAAAAGGTTTAACGGGCTTGGGTTTTTTAATATCAGAATTCGTGGACGAGAGAGCACTGTGAGATCCTATCAGTTCCAGTGTTATTATTGGTACACGTCATTAGTACATTCTCGAAACTAGATACGTCTCATCATCTTATTGGCTTAGATCTAGTAACTCTTCGTAATGATGTCATTACGTATTAAAAATTACCATGCGGTTAAAAAGCAATAGTTAAATGGGCCGAAGAAAGCCCAAAGAATCTTTAGTTGTTTTCCGATCGATCTGCGAGACATATTTGCCGGCGAAAAAATTCTCCGGGAGAGATCCTTTGATCTTTTTTCCGATGGAGGAGCAGATCGGAGGGAGCGATGAGAGATGGAAAGGATCATTGGAGAATATAACGGAGATGGCATCGAATCTCGATTCTCTTCAGAAACTTCTCCTCAAGAAAGCAGTCTTCGTCGAAGAAGACACTTTCGCTAGAGCTTCTCTCGTCTCCGAACAAGCCCGAACCATCAAGGTCCCTTTTAAATCCTTTTTCCGGTGATTAATTTTGAGTTTATAGAGCTTTATTGGCTGAATTTTGAGCTTCTTTCCTTTCATTTTGATGATTGCTTCTGCGATTTGTGGATTCGATCTAGTTGATCACGATCGCCATTTTTAGTTAGGTTTTGTATTTACTATAGCTCAGTGTAATAGTGTGATTCTGGAATTGCATTGGATGGTGAATTTGGGAACTTATAGTTGCTCATAAAGTTTGAATCTTGGGGCCTTAATCTTGGATATAAAGTTGAGCTTGTAGTCCGATTTTGTGATCTGTTAATGGTGCAAATGATCACCAAATCCTGAAAGACTGGACCATGAGGTTTCACGATGAAAAGTCCAAGTGCAATAATGTGTATTGAAATAGATTTTTTTTCATGTTGTATGTAAAAAGGACTGTGTTACATGTTTGAGATAAGTGATAGTTTCAGAATGTCTCTTAACTCTGTTCAATGGTTTGTTTTAGATTCTTGAGCAAAGAGTACAAACACTAGAAAGAGAACTAGATGCTGCCATTACAGCTGCTGCTCATGCTCGGTCTGAGAAACGCCAAGCTGAGTCCTCTCAAAAGGCTGCTGAATCACGTGCCCAAGAGGTCACCAAAGAGCTCGAAAACACCACAAGTATGTACTTGATTATCACTTCTTGGGTTGATGGCACCACTCTCTCCCGCACCTTTATATGTGTTCCAGTTTCATATTCACTCACTCACTTACAACTCTTGTTTCAGAGGTTTTCAAACTGCACATGGAAGAGCTCCGAGGAATGCAAGAACAGATATTCAAACGCGATAATGAGATCAAACTCTTAGAAGCTATAATTCAAACACTCGGCGGCAAAGAGCGGTTGGGAAAAAGCGGCATGAATGGATGATGCTGATGCGTTTTTTTCACTTGTAAAGTTTTGTACTTGTGAGTTTGTGGAGATGTATCACTTTGAAGATAAATGTATTTTTGTCTATTTGGTACGTTCTTGAATCTTGCCTGTTTTTTCAAGAAATGAATGTTACATGGGCCTGAGCTTATAAATGGGCCTAATGTGAATCGACCGATACTAATAATGGGTTTTATTATTTTATAGATGTGTGGTTTCACACGTATGCTGATAGTGCTGCGATGGCACCACCAGCCAGATTCAGTAACGCGGCATCTCCAGCCGTGTGGAGCAAGAAACTGCGTAAATTTGACAGCTGAAGAAGCAATTTCGCATCTAACTAATTTCACTAAAAGAGAATCAAAGAAACAAAAGAGGATTATGACCAAATTAGAAAGAAGTGATGGTTCATGGTTTTTAGCGTGTGGGTGTCTCTCTAGATTATCTAATTTTTTGGTAGACACTAGTGTTTATTATCTAATTTTGATAAAATACCAATGAAGGAAGTTTTGACTAATCAGAAATAGTATATACAACAAGTATATAATTTTATTTTTAAGGCTCGATTAAGTAAGGTAAGAAAAATGGGGATTGTATCTAAAACTAGATAGGGGTGAACCAAAGAAATACGTAAAGTAAATTAATGTAAAGGCAATTGTTGTTTACTACACGCTACAAAAGTGGTTAAAAAGAATCTATGGCTAATAATTATTCTCTTACAAAATTTCTTTGTACATTTGGATAAAAGCAAGAACATAAACACTTTCTGATTATGACAAAGAATCTAAATTTCATTTTGCTGTTACTAGTCAACTCTTGTCAATTGTCATGCATAGAACAAGTGATAAAAGCTCTCTCTCTAAAAATCTCTCTCTCTAAAAGCTCTCGCTTTTCTTCTTCTCCCCCCCGACGTCGGCCTCACGCCGATGGTCGGAAATTTCTCCATGGGTTCTAAGAAAAAGAAGAAGAAGCCTTTGAGGGGAGTGGTTCCAGGATCCTCCAAATTTGCTCGGATCTCAGCTCGTGCTCTCTCCGGTTCTAGCAAAGAACCTCCTTTTGTTGGCCTCTCCAATGCTCTCTCGCTGCTCCCTAGTTCGTCGGAGGTTGTTGTTGCCTCCTCTCTTTCAACCCAAGTGAGTCCCGATCCAAATCTGGGTTTGGATTCTGCCTCGGTTTCTGTGCCCGATTCAGATCTACAATCTGAAACAGTGAATCCTTCAGCCATCACCGTCGTAGGTCCATCCTCCAGTGTGGCGTTTGCTGCTGTTCCTTTGAGTTCTGCTAACCAAGCCGTTGTTGGTTGTTCGCTCCCCATCATTGAAGGTTCATCCTCTGATGTGGTGCTCTCAAACGTCTCTGCTCCGATCTCTGGCTCCCTACCCGACACCGTCGCAGGTACATCCTCCGGTGACACCGTCGCAGGTACATCCTCCGGTGACACCGTCGCAGGTACATCCTCCGGTGACACCGTCTCTCCCACCACACGCACGTACTCGGCTGTGGCGCGTGACCCTGCGTGTTTGGAGGAAATTGGTAGCCCTACCCAACACATTTCTGGAGCTCCATTTGTGTTCATCCCAGATGAAAACATTCAAGCTGCTAAGGAGGAATTCAAGGACTTTGTCTTTGCTCAATTTCATGGTCCTATTCCAGCTATGGGAAGGATAATTGGTGTGGTCAATGCCATTTGGGCACGTTCTGGACCGCGTATTTTTGTTCATCGAATAGGCGATGGAACTTTTCTGTTGAAGGTGATAAGTCCTCGTGTTCGTGAGACAATTCTTAGCCGTAACATGTGGAGTATCGTGGGACATCCGATGTTTGTTGCTCCTTGGTCCCCAGATTTCAATCCTGATACTCCTCTGATTTCTTCGGCTGTGGTGACTGTGGAATTAAGAGGAGTTCCTTATCTTCTGTTCAATAAAGAGAGCCTTGGTAGAATTGCAACCGCTGTTGGGAAGCCAGTTGCACTCGCCCCCGAAACAGCAAGGAAAGAGAATTTTGAGGTGGCAAAACTTCTTGTTCGGGTTAATTTGTTGAAGGAGCTTCCTTCTCGTGTTGTTTCAGGATTTAGTGATGGGAGAGAAATTGATATAGATGTGTCCTATCCATGGCTCCCTCCAAAGTGTAATGTATGCGATCAATTTGGACACGCCACTAGTCTCTGTAGACAATACACGCCGTCTACCTCTGGAAGGAAAGTGACCAAGAGATCCGCTAGTCGAAGAGGCAGGCCATCTCGTCGTGAAAGACTATCTCGAAAAGTCTCTCGTTCCCGTGTGGGCAGGTCCATCACAGCAAATGCTGAAGAAAAAATTCCAATTGGGACTATTGTCGTTAATCCTATTATTGATGTTGAGTCTGCAGTTGGGCCGATTTCTCAACAACCTGTTCTTTTGGTGAGCTCACCTACTGAGTCCAGCCGCAACAATGTTACTGAAGAAGCTGAGCCACCTTTCATTATGGTGTCTCGTCGAAGGTGTGGCCGCAAGGCCGCCTCGCTACACTAACTACCCATTATCATGTATTTTGTATGGAACATAAGAGGACTGAATAGCGGTTCGAGACAGACTATGACTAAGGATTGGATTAATATCTGTAAGCCTCTTTTTGGAGCTTTTTTGGAGACACACATAAGGGAGGTCAATTCGAGGAGAATAGTTAATGCCATTCCTAGTGGCTGGAAGTCTTTTGGTAATTTTGGTCATCATAATTCGGCGAGGATTGTGGTTGTTTGGGATCCGCGTATCTCTTTGGTGGTGTATCAGTCTTCGGCGCAGATGGTTACGTGTGGTGTGTTCTTGCCAGCTGATAATGTGAGTCTTACAATCTCTTTTGTTTATGGTTTTAATCTGGTCGAGGAACGAACTACTCTTTGGGAGGAATTGGTCCATATCAGCTCAACAACTCCTGTCTCGTCTCATCCGTGGGCAGTGCTTGGTGACTTCAATCAAATTATGCGAAGTTCCCAGCATTCTGATCATCAGAGTAGAGACATCGACATTTCTGGAATGGATGAGATGAACTTGGCACTGCAGGATGCTGAACTTTTTGAGGCCCAAGCTAAAGGTCTTCCTTTTTCTTGGTGGAATTGCAGTGATGGGCATACCATCTCCAAAAAGATCGATCATGCCTTAATCAACCAGCAGTGGGCCACTGATTTTCCTGATGCTTACGCTGAATTTTTGGATCCAAAGCAATCAGATCATACTCCTATATGGTTCTGTGTCCCATCTCTTAAGCGTCTTATTTTAAGGCCTTTTCAATTTTTTCATCACGTCATCGACCATCCTGAGTATTGTGATGTGGTTAGGCAGTCTTGGCAATGTAATCAAGTTTCTGGTTCAAATCAGTTCAAGGTCCTTAAATCCCTCAAAGCATTAAAGCCTGCCCTTCGAAGATTGAATAAGCGGCACTTTAGTGGCATCTCTCAGCGTGTGAAGATCGTGGAATCACAACTTGATGAGCTTCATAGGACCATTCTCAGTGCTCCAACGCCAGAGTTAGCTAGAGAGGAGCATCTTATTAGAGCAAAATGGAGACTCCTTAGCAAAGCTGAAGAGAAGTTTTATCGCCAGAGATCTCGTGTGAAGTGGATGCATCTAGGCGATCGAAACACTGAGTTCTTTCACAAGACTGTTTCAGTGAGATTAAACAGAAACCACATTCACTTCTTACAGGATCAGAGTGGCAGAAGAATCTCCGGTGACTCAGATTTAAAGTCCCATGCTGCGGCCTATTTTGAGGAAATTCTTGGGACTACTAGCATGCCTGAGTCTCCCTGTTCTACCTCTGTACTTGCTGATCTTCTCTCTTTTCGCTGCTCAGATATACATAAATTAAGCTTGATTAAAGCTGTTTCTGATGAAGAGATAACGAGCACTGTCTTTGCTCTGCCTTTGGATAAATGCCCTGGACCGGATGGATTTTCTGTGGAGTTTTTCAGAGCGTCTTGGAGTATTGTTGGTTCTGATATTGTGGCTGCGGTTCAAGAGTTCTTCCGTAATGGTCGTCTGCTCAAGGACTTCAACACAACAAAAATTGCTCTTATTCCAAAGTTTCCCGAAGCTTGCAAGCTTGGTGATTACAGGCCCATTAGCTGCTGCAACTTGGTATACAAGATTATTTCAAAAATAATTGCTAACCGGCTCAAGCCAATTTTGCAAGAATGTGTCTCTCTAAACCAAGCTGCGTTCCTGAAAGGCAGGTTGTTGGGGGAAAACGTTCTTCTGGCATCTGAACTAATCAGACACTATCAACAATCATCTTGTCCAAAGAGCTCCATGCTAAAGGTAGACATTAAAAAAGCTTTTGATACGGTCTGCTGGGATTTTATTTTGAAGTTGTTGGCTGCTCAGGAGTTTCCTCCGTTGTTTTGCATCTGGATCAAAGAATGTATATCCTCCCCGAGATTCTCAGTGGCCATTAATGGGGAGTTGGCTGGGTTCTTTGCGGGCAAGAAAGGCTTAAGACAGGGAGATCCGTTATCCCCATACCTCTTCATTATGGTTATGCAAGCTTTGTCTAAGCTATTGGAAAATGCTGCAGACAGAGGTCAGATTGAGCTTCATCCAAAGTGCCTTACTCCAAGAATCACTTATCTGCTCTTTGCGGATGACTTATTGGTTTTCTCCAATGGTTCAAGGGTTTCTTTGGCAGGTGTCGCAGAGGTCATGACCACGTTCAAGGAGATTTCCGGGTTGGATATGAATCCTTCAAAGTCAGAAATATTTTTTGGTGGCTACCCGGAAGCTGAAGTTAGAGAATTATGTGCCTTTGCTGGTATAAACTTGGGATCCTTCCCTACTCGTTATCTTGGTCTCCCACTCAACCCGACCAGAATATCTTTTGCAACCCTGCAACCTTTTCTTGAGAGAATTACAAGCAAGCTGCATTCTTGGACTGCAAAATTTCTCTCTTTTGCTGGGAAAATCAGATTGGTTTCTTCGGTTATATATGGAATGGTCAACTTCTGGAGTAGCGTGTTTGTCTTGCCAAAACGCTTTTATGCCAAAATTGATTCCTTATGTGCGGCTTTCCTTTGGAACAACAAGACTGGTTCAGCTTCTGGAGCTCGTGTTGCTTGGAAAGATCTCTGTAAACCAAAGTGTGAAGGGGGGCTGGGTATTCGCTTGCTTGAAGATTTTGAGATTGTTTTCAGGTTAAAGCT